TCTTCTTGCCTGTCATGAGCTACAGATATTTACAACAGATACTTAAGAAATCTGCTTGAATGTATATGAACATAAAACATCATTGCTGCCTTTATTAAGCAACAGTTTTTTCTAATTACTATTTGTGGGAAAAACATACCACCTGGTTTATTGAATATATCTCCACCATGCAAAATAAATTTATTGCTAAATCCAGTCCAGGTATTTTCACAGAACTGCCTAAGCATCTCTTTACAATAGAATAAAAATGAAGTGTTCTAAAAAAATTAAGACCAATAACCAATAGCATGTTTCCACTAAGAATGACATCATTATGTACCATCACAGTATAACCAAAACCAAGGAAAACTGCATCACAATTACTGCATCTTGTTTGAGCTACCAGATTAGAAATCAAGAACTTTTTCTACATCAGTAATACATAAAGAAAGATGAAGATAACTGAATTAAAATCATGTGAATTCTATCCAAAGAAAATGTGAAGATTAAGCTGGAACACAAGGCTTTGGAACTACTCTTCCTGTACAGGTAGTCACCTTTAGTGACAAAAAATACAAAGGTGGCACATGTCTGAGTTTAAGCATTCGTAGAATTTACCAACCATTACAGTTTTTTCTCTAAGCATTTTCCAAGATCCATACGGATCTATGCAGAAGAGATATCCTAACCAGCCAAATTCGTCCTGGAAAAAATGCAGAACTCATGAGACAAACACTTCACTGCTAAATATTTGTAAACAGGTTTGAAAAATCTATTAATATAAACTACCAGCAGGATTAAGTTAGTGCTTGCCTTTCTGTGAGACTGTCTGAAGGGGGAGGGGGCATAACAGCTGACCTCAAGAGCTCCCTTCTAGCATAAGTTTTCCAATGTTATTCTTGATTTATCACACCATGACTGCATGAGTTATTGCAAGTCACTGTACAAAAACAGTAATCAAGGAAAAGGCAGTACAAGCTAAAACATCAGTTTCCCTGGAAGTTGAACTCACAGCTATAGAGAGCATTTCCGTTTCTTGCAGTGACAGATCCTAGACCTTCCAACTCCACAGCTGAATCCCACGGATCCACCACTACAGGAGTGCCATCAACACCCACTTCTAATCACATACACAGAAGTCCCCATTGAAAGTTTCAGTTCAGAAATCAAAAAACTACAAAGCTTTAAAGCAATAAAGGGTATCTTTAATAAAGACCATCTGGCATCAACAACCAACTACAGCAGTTAATTTAGGATGTCCAGGCTAGATTAACGTAACAAAGCTTAAATCTGTACATACACAAACTTCTTGTAATACCTATAATTTCCTCTCATCCCTTTACCACATAGAACTTTTAGCTTCAGTTCAAGTCTCCATCCTGTTATAAACCTATTAAAAATCTTCAAGGTGTTTTTCTTTATCTGGCTAAAAGCAACTTAGTATCAGGTATTGACTTCATTGTTCTTCCCCCATAACTTAACTCACATGGCCAGTTCCTGACAGTTAATTACTTGATGTAATCCAGTAAATACAGTCCTCTATTTCAGAAAAATCAGCTGTTTTCAGTGTCAATGGTTAGTACAGCAAGTAGTCCAAACAGACACCATTTTCTTCATTCAACTAGAGACTATCATCACAGGAACCTATCTATTTTGGAGGGATTGCATTATAATTCTACACCTGAAATACCTGAAGCAACTACTTTATCAAGCAAATTTAACAAGTCTTTCTCTCATTAAATAAAGAAGGGAGAGACAAGTTATCTTATAAAACACCCCTGCAGAATTATCTGCCTATCAATCCCTGCCCAGTGTGATAGGAATGATAAATCAAGAGCAGAAGCAACTGTGGCCTTCTGAATACAACATTCATGTAAATTAATACTGCAATTTATCATTAGGCTGCTCTTCGCTGCTGGAAATACAGTAAGACTACTTGGTGACAGCAGCTTTCCAAATTTAAGGTCACACATCAACAAAACCTGGACATTCTATATTACTAGTAGTATTTATTCTATTACACACAGAAAATTACTACATTCCCCACTGAATCCAAACTTGCATACCTGCTACGAGTGCCTAAAAGAAAGCTTTGTGAAAAT